TAAATTTTTTTGTCTTTTACATATAATTAATTAATATTCAATTATAATAAATAAAATTCTAAAAATTCAAATACAATTAACTAAAACTTTTAAATATAAAATCAAATATAAATTGTCCAAATATAAATAAAAATCAATTAAATGTAAATAAAAATCAATTAAATATAAATAAAAATCAATTCAATATAAATAATAAAACCAACAATTAACAAATTTGTTCCAAACATAAACAAAGATTAATCTAAGCTAAACTAAAACATAAGCAAAAATTAAACCAACAATGGAGGGGAAGGTGAAAATGAAAATTGAGAAATGAATTAGGGTTAAGGTTAAATGTAAGTAAGGGAATTAATTGGGTTAATTTTTATGGATTGGGTTGGGTTGGGTTAGGTAAAATTGAGTTAAGTTTAATTTTGATTTAATTGAGTTTGGGTTTGTGTTTGGGTTTGGATTTGGGTTTAAGTATGAAAGATGAATTAAATTTAAAATAAAATTAATTTATATTTATTTTAAATTTTGCGGGGATGGAGATCCTCGCGGGGCCCCATGGGACGGGGAAAATTCCCCGCGAAATTTCGCAGGAGGAAAATGCTCCCCATCCCCGCCCCGCGGGAGGAATATTCCTCCCTGCCCCGTCCCCGTGGCGGGGATCCCCGCGGGGCCCCGCGGGGATCGAGAGAAATTACCATCCCTAGATAGGACCCCGTCCCATTCTATTTACCCAAAGTATTGTTGTTGCTGTTATGCTTGCATTGGTTTGCTTGCGTGCAAAGCCTAAGTTTAGATCAACAATGAAATATGTGTTTCAACAATTTGTTGCCTGCCAAAGAGAACTTTTGAAGCCTTTTCCAACTATTTCTCTGTTGGAACTTGTAAGTACTGATTTGGGAATGGAAAATGGAAGAGAACCTCAACCAGAAGTTGTATTGGAACTTGTAAAACTAAATATTGATTTGGGGATGGAAAATGAAAGAGAACCTCATTCAGAAAAGTTTCATGTCATCCTGACAAGTTCCATCGTTCTTCCTCAAATTAGATCCAATTGAGTTTCCTTGTCTTTTTTTTTTTTGAAAAAATAAATATGTTTGTATATTTCATGCTTTACCTTTCTGTATTAATATGTTGAGGTAACATCCTTGAAATCGAAGACTATGTTATTTTGTATATTTCTCATCAAGGGTAATACAAATTTTTTTACTGAAACACATGAATGCACCGACGCAAAGTTCAACACTTGGCAGAAGAAATTGGCTGTATTTTTTTTTTTTTTAAAGAATCCAGACAGCATCATAGTGAACCATGGAAACTATTCCCCCAATTACTTCAATCAACCTTGATAGCATAGAAGATGTTAGACAAGCAATAAAGAAAGGGCATTAGACTTTTTCAGTCATAGCATATGCTACAAAAGAGCCTTTTCAATGTTTGTCTCCAGTGTAGAGAGCCTATTAATACACTTCTGCTCAAAAAGGAAAATATCTAGGCTCACCGGCATAACTATTAGATGGATCAGGGAAAGAATGTAAAATAAAAATGCATGCAATTTTTTTTGAAGTGAATAAAAGCTGAACACCATGGATCTGTTGCTGCAACATTGCAGCACCATATAATCTGTCTTGCAGAGAATAATTTTCCAAACTAGAAAATAACTATAAACATATTAAGTCGAGGATTTTGTGTCCTTATGCGTTTGGGGAAGGAGCTTTAATGCCACAATGCATGTCACTTATCTGTCCAAAATCATCCATGC